TAGATGTCAAGCGGTGGGACTTTTGCGTGACTCACATCCTTCCACCGGCAGATTTAGGAAGCAGTGAGCAGTCAGGTCCCCGGCCTGTATTGTCAGGGCTTGCTTTGAATGCCAGGTGAGAGCAAAGGATAAATACAGCCTGGGCTTCCTGAAGGCCCAGGTTAACTCTTCTGCTGGTTTTGTTTTAATTCTATTTCCAGTGCCACAATAGAGTGATATTTAAGCAACTCCTACAAGCGAAAGCCCTGCAGTTTCTCCAGATTGACAGCTGCAGGCTGGGAAGTGTCAATGAAAACCTCTCGGTGTTGCTGATGGCCAAAAAGTTTGAAAGTAAGGGCGCCCCAGGAGCCGCGCACCAAACCTCCATTTCCCCACCCACGCACACCGGCGGGTCCCTCTGGAGGGACTCTTTTCGGCCTGATCAGGGAATCTATTTTCATCCCTAGATCATAATGAATGATGTAATCACAGGCGGGCAATCACCTTAATCACCGCAGGTGCTCTCTCATCCACCCATCCCCACCCCTAGGCATTAAATAGAAATGTCTTTATTGTAGTTCCCGTTTGCCCTCATGCCGGTGGAGTTGGCCTCTGTGAATTGGTTCAGCATCTGATTATATTTGACTTCATCTCCATTTCTGCAAGCCTTAAGAACAGGTAATGTGGAGGGGCGCCTGGGTGGCTCAGATGGTTAAGCGTCTGCCTTCGGCTCAGGTCATGATCCCGGGGTCCTGGGATCGAGCCCCGCATCGGGCTCCTGGCTCGGTGGGGAGCCTGCTTCTCCCTCTCCCTCTGCCTCTCTCCCTGCTCATGCTCTCTATTAAAAAAAAAAAACCAAAACAAAAAAAACAGGTAATGTGGAGATAACTTCAGTAGCGTCCCTCAGTCAGGTCAGACTTTAAAATTCGGCTCTGGAGACCAGTGGCACCAAGAACTCTACTTTGCCATGTCCTATAACTCAAAGGCCAACTTGGTTTTGCTTCCACTTTTTCCCAGGGGGCCATTACACTGGAGCCCCAGCAGTGAGTAGATCTTTTTCTTTCAGAGGACTGGGTTTGTGGTAGCTGCCTTTGTTTTCTAAGTATGAGATGGTGCGTGGGTGGGGTGGAACCCCGGGGAAGCCAGAACTCCTTTTGTTTTTTGGTTTTTTTTAAGTAGGCTCCACACCTAGTATGGAGCCCAGCAGGGCTTGAACTCAGAACCCTGAGATCAAGAGCTGAGCTGAGATCAAGAGTCAGACACTTAACCGACTGAGCCACCCAGGCGCCCCCAGAACTCCTTCCATTCTAAAGCCTTGCTTTCATCATACTTATATTCTCTGCTTCTGTCCAATCTCCTGGTCCCAGCGCTGGAGTATTCTGTAATCTGGCCGCATCTAGTTCCACCTTATTTCTCAACATGTCCCAGGTGAACTTTAAGACAGTCTTCCAGTCATCTGCACACATATGGCTTTATTTTTAAGATTTATTTCAGAGAGAGCAAGTGGTGGGAGGGGCAGCGGGAGGAGGACAGAGAGAATGCTTGAGCAGACTCCCTGCTGAGCATAGAGCAGGATATGGGGCTCAATCCCAGGACCCTGAGATCATGACCTGAGCCAAAATCAAGAGCCGGCTGCTTAAGCGACTGAGCCACCCAGGCACCCCCACATATGGCTTTATTAACTCCTGGAGTTAAATGTGGTATCGCAGAAGGATCACTGGCCATGATCTTTATATGGCGGCAGCATAAATATGTACATGAGAATGGTCAACACCAAATGCAGGGCCATGGGTGAGAAATGGGACCTATGAGGGTTGATGGGAGCCTCAATGATAACGGTTTTTCTCTTAAGATGAGGGTGAGTACATAGATGCTGCCTTTTATGTCTGAAATATTTTGTACAATAAAAAGTGAACATTCCTAGGTTATTCTGCTTTTGCTCCCTCATTTCAGTCCCGAAGGTGGGACTAAAGGGAGGTTCGGACCAACCTTGAAAGGTCCTGTCAGTCTTGAGGGCTGAGAAAAGGGCCAGGGCTGAGCGAGGTGCGCTGTGACCACCCACAAGTGGGCGAGAGCACCTCCTGCCGCCCCCCTGTGCAGGAATGTTGCCCCCATGCGCGGGAATGTTGGTGTGTGAGCGGGGCAGCCGCCAGGCACCGCTTGCACCCCAGCTTTGTGACCGCGTGGGACACCCGTTCCTGCTCACTCTTCAAGGCCAGAACATCCTCTCCCATTGGGCTGGTTCTTCACCTGTGGCCTGTTCTTTGTAGATTATACATAGCGCATATTCTGGTCGATAACTTGGTATCTGTGTCCTCTGAAACCATGCAGCCCCGTCTTGCCAGTTCCTTTGGGAATGCCCGGCACCGGGCACCTGGGCTGCCTGTCCTAGCTGTTCATTAACCGATGACCAAAGTAAGGCAGCAGAGTTAGGTCACTTGCCCCAAGTCACAAAACTAGAGGGTGGCTGACCCAAATTTGAACAGATTGGTCTGATAGTAAAACCTGTGCTCTTTTTTCTAACTCGTGTGTGTAGCTGGGTGGGATCTCACTGGGTGATTTTAATCTATTCATCTGACTTTTGGCTAAAGGCACCCAAATAATCCCAGATACTTATGGAGTCTAAATGGCTACCTTTGGGGGTCACAAAACTTTTACAGATCTTCCTTGGCCTAAGATAGCTTAACATTCCAATAAACCCACCATAGTATATTGAAACAGTAATATATTTATCAATATTGATAAATATTAATATATTGAAAATATATTTTAAAATGTTTAATACACCTAACCTACTGAACATACCTTAGCCCAGCCTACCTACCTTAAACATGCTCAGAACACCTATATTAGTCTGTACTTGAGCAAAATCATCTGACGTGAAGCCTATTTTATAATAAAATGCTGAATAGCTTGTGTAGTTTATCGAATACGGTACTGAGAGTGTAAAACTGAATGGTTGTATGGGTACCAACAGTTGTTAGTGTATTGGTTGTTGACCCTAGGGATGGTGTGGTTGACTGGGGGCTGCTGCGGCCATAGGCCACAGGCCAGCATCACGAGAGAGGATTGTATCACACGCCACAAGCTGGGAAAAGATCCAGATTCAAACTTTGAAGTACAATTCTACTGAATGCATGTGGCTTTTGCTTCATCACGGAATCAAAAAATCTTAAGTCAAACCACTGTGAGTCGGGGACCACCTGTAGAGTTACGAGACTTTTGGTACCCACCCACATGAGACTTCACCCAAGCCTCACACTGTTTTAGTTTACAGGGAGAGAACCTGAGGCAGAGGTTGAGAGATTTGCATAGAAACACACACCCGATTGAGTCCACCCTTTCTTCATTGGTGCTCACCCCTTGGCTCTAACAGTTAGTACCACATGAATGATCTAACATAAGACATTACTGCCCTAATCTGATTCCTTCCTCCTAGGATGTGTGAGTATGTCAACCACCTGCATGAACATTTCAGGTATCCTGTGGTCATCAAGAAAGCGTCCTACATGCCTCCTAAGGTGAGCTTGGCCAGAGGCCTCCCTGAGGAAGCAAGGAGCTTCCAGCCCCTGGTATACTTGCTCTTGTGAGTTAGACCCTAGACCACAAAGCTGTCTCCTTAGAGCTTACTTTCAGTATCTAGAAATTACAAATGGCTCTTCAGTTAGCAATATCAAATTCCCAAAGCCTGAAGGTCAGGGGTTGAGGGTGAAATTGCCCTGACAAGCCTTCAGTAATGCCAGCCTTTCTTCCCAACACCAGCTGAGACCTTAAAATGTACACTTCTGTGCAAACCCCCTCCCCCCCCAAAAACCCCAAAACCAAACAAAAAGCAAACGTGGCACCACCTAGCAAATTAGTGAACTGAAACATTTAGACTGCGGTTGTGTTAATCTGGACCATTTATCTTCATCATGTTCAAGACACTGGGGCTCATTTTCACCAACAGAGGTTGAGTTGTCAAAGGAAGTGTGATTATTTAATCCTGAGACACAGCCAATAAAGTATATCCTTCCCCATTTCAAATAATCCAAAAACAGCATTTCTATGAACAGCAGAAATACATGTATGAGTTTTGTTCCAGGTGGTTATTAACTCTAAAATTTTTTGTCTTTGATAGGATGCTGGTTATTCAACAGAAATGAAGGAGGAATCTGTAAAGAAACACCAGTATCCACATGGGGAAGTCTGGAAAAAACTCCTTGCTGCTCAAGAGAATTAATGTTCAGCCCTAACACCCTTTCCTAAGTGAAAAGGCTTAACCATTTCTTCGGTGTGGTTTTATAAAAACGGGAAAGAAATCATCGTAGCAATCAAAACAAGTTCAGCTGAAAGTCCTGTTAACCTCAGGAATCAGCTCAGTCATTACTTGATTCTTTTAGCAAATAAACACACATTCTCCTAATTAATCCTTAAACAAATTTAGATTTAACTCCAAGTCCAGAAAGATGTTCTTACAAAATTTCTACCAAGTGCTGGTACCTGGACATTAAATTATACTTTGAAAATAAGCAGCAGGTTGCATAATTGTTGGAACAATGCCTTATTCTATCTAACGCTTGTTAAAAATTAGCAGAGTAAAAATAGTTCTGCAGTACTGTGGGGTATCTGGTGTACAACAAAGGTAAAAGGATTTCACGGATTAGCCCTGGAGTGGTTTAGCCTTTCTATTCTTGCTCAGTCTAAGTGTATTAGTAGAGGATTCACACCATACTGAAACCATGGCAGCAGTAATGGGCAGGAAAATGGAATTTCATACATTATTTTTCCATAACCCTTAAGCCTTTATCCTCAATAATCCTTATGTGCTAATGATAAAACGCAGCCAGAATTAGACGAACCACAGAAAAATAGGGCAAAATACAGTTTAGTCACCATTTCCAAAATACACCAAACCTCTAATCAGTATCCAAACAAGAATAGAGCATGTTTATTTAGGAGGGTTCAGTTAAATCTATTTTAGGCAGGAAGTGAACAGAATAGCAATATAGAATAAAAAATTAAAAAAAAAAACAGATAAATGCAGAACACACCTTTATTATAGCAATATATAAAGCAAATAACTTTAAATGTTCATAACCACAACTGTACATTATTATGAATGCTGGTGTTATTCAGCATTTGGGGAAGAGCTGACGTGTAATTCTTGAAATTCACGGACCTTCATAAAAATGTGGGGTTGAAATGCATGTAGACGTTTTAAGAGTATCCCAGTTTTTATTCTCCTGACTTTATTCCCAATCTCGGCATTTTCACACGTCCTCAGTGAGTTACCAAACTAAAGGCCTTTTGTTACTAAGAGAACAGGCAAGGTTATGTTTGCCAGTGGCAACATCTTTACAAGTTAATAAAAACTGTTGGTGGCCAAGAATTTTTGACCTAGTTCCCTCTTCCTCTAGGGCAAATGAGCTTTCACCTGGGCACTCAGTCCAACCCCTACTGGCGGAATATCCTTCAAATACCTCCTTTAAAAGCACTTTAAAGAGCCATTTCCATTTTAATAGTCGGGTGAGGACTGTACCCCTCAATCTGAAAGTCTTCAGCCTTGAAGTCATCGATTGTCTCAACTTTTCGAAGGATTTTGAGCTTTGGGAAAGGCCTTGGTTCTCGCTGAAGCTAAAAACAATAGGAGAAAATTATCTTGCCATTATCTGTACAACCAGCTTTAATTCTGCTCCCTGTGAAACAAGTACACAGTATTTTATCGACAAAATATTTCACAGGAATGTAATAGTGCCAGACACTTGCCCCTGCTTAGGCAACAACACTCCTGGAATGTAACTGACGGATTCTCTCCCACACGTGGAGTCTGAAGGATCTTTTGTGGCATCCACCGCATCAGGAGCTGTGTGGCCTCTTGGTAAATTTATGAAGGACAGGACACAGTCTTTCACTTTTGTATCTGTAACTCCAGGTAGGCACTCCTATATGGTTATCTGAGTCCCATAATCCCTATCTCAACTGTCCCTGGCAGAGGGTGAGGCAAGATGACATCTGCTGACAACAGAGAGGGGTGCAAGCCGGGGTTCCTGGCAGGAACAGATGGTGGCAATGGGGACGTGGACACAGGCTCCAACCTCACATAACTCTGTCCAGCATGAGCGGAGCAGAAGACCAGAGAAGCAACTGCACAAACCCCGAAGTCGCCCTCTATACAGAAGCAGCCAAACTCCCACAAAGGAGGAACTTTCAAAACCTGGATCTCATCTGAAGGGGCTAAAAGGGTTTGGTTCAATTTTTTTTCCCTCCCTTCGGCTCACTGAGCATTAGACACTCGTATTTTAATTGCCGTTTCAAATCACTTGTTGGCTGGTGTAACTTGGGATTTGGACAGACTTTTGAAAGTTAATACCTATGTGTGGTATTTAACATGATATGAAGGGAAAACATCACCATTTAAATTCTCGAACTAAAAATGAGTTGAAATGCTACCTTTGGGAAGGTTCCCAAACCCACAGGTCCGAATATGGGCTCTCCCTCTGTTGTACTGGCCTAGCATCTCACAGTAGCGGTCACACAAAGTGCCCGTGGTGGCTGTCTGCCTTGTCCCCGCCCACCTGCCCACCACCAGTCCCTGCAGTCGGAGCAGGGCATCTCAGCTCTGCCCCAGCAAGAGCAGAAGGTCTGTTACGTGAGGGACGTTCTAGAAGGCAATCTCTTATCAAGAGAAGGTACCAGGGTGCCTTGGTGGCTTAGTTGGTTAAGCGACTGCCTTCGGCTCAGGTCATGATCCTGGAGTCCCGGGATCGAGTCCCACATCAGGCTCCCTCCTCGGCGGGGAATCTGCTTCTCCCTCTGACCCTCCCCCCTCTCATGCCCGCTCTCTCTCTCATTCTCTCTCTCAAATAAATAAAATCTTAAAGAAAAAAAAAAAAAGAGAAGGTACCAAAGTGTGACAGGTATAATTCTTACCTGCATTTTCAGCGGCTCAATGTGATTCAGGTAAATATGTGCATCTCCCAAAGTATGTACGAAGTCACCTGGCTAAATCCCATGGGAGCAAGCAAAACGGCAAATGTTTTAGTTTCAATTCCTTTCAGACACATCATTTGAAAGCACATTATGTAGACTATGCAGACATTCCAAGGCTTTTCAAAAAACAATTTCACCAGCTTAGCTTTTGAGAAAAGCTGATGTTCACAACAGTTGTCTTGTCTTATAAATAACCCACAGAAACCTGTTTGCTTATCCAGACCGCAAAGACAAGAAAGCTCCCTGGGAGGCTGCCAGGTGAGCAGCTTCGTTTCTTACACAGATCACATTTTTGAACTAATCAGCCACTGACTTCTCTGCAATTAGTTTTTCCACATTAAATAACCTAAGAGCTCAGTGCTTTAGGCCAGTAGCCACCGTTCCCTCCCAGCCGCAGCCCACCTTCAGGCCTGTGATGTGTGCGATCATGTAGGTGAGCAGGGCGTAGCTGGCAATGTTGAAGGGCACACCCAGGCCCATGTCCCCCGACCTCTGGTACAGCTGACAGGACAGCTCGCCGTTCACCACGTAGAACTGGCAGAGGGCATGGCACGGAGGGAGGGCCATCAGAGGAAGATCTGAGGAGCCAGCACACAGGAAAATGAGGCACGGGTGGTTTTAAAGAATGCAGCCGCACACAAGACAGGAGAGAAACAGAAGCCAACTCCTGCGGGGGAGAGCATGAGAACAGGCCACCGGGCCAGTGACTCCCATGAGCCACACCGCCCCCCAGGTCAAAAGCAGACCATTCCAATCCTGGGGATGGCACCAGGCCTACGGTGAGCCATCCATTAACATGAGACGTCTGAGGATGCATTTTCACAGCTGAAGCCACACTCATCCAGCCAAAATTACCTGCACCGCCTTCGTGGCACCAAACTAGAAGCAGGAGGAATTCATACATGCCCGGGGGGCCACAGCAAACCGGCATCCTAGGCACACCCTCCTGTATTCAAAGTCTCTACTCGAAAAGCAAACATTCCACTCTGGGTAACATTTAGTACACCTTGGTAGAGTTTAATTTTACGATATAACTGTTAAAATGTTAACAGCCAGGTGGAGAAGATATGAAACTTCATCTGCCCCAATTTAAACTGTTAAAACCTTAGGTATATTTTTATAGGTAATTTAAAGCTCTCTGTGGAGTAAGAGAAGTATAAATACACACATTAAGATCATCTTCGTCCAACCCCATCATCTGAAGGTGAAAATGGGGCCAAGAGTGACTTGCCCAGAGTCACACCAGCCATGTGGCTGGGGGTGGTTCCCAGGGTCCAGCCTCCTATCGGTGGCCTCCACGCAAAGCCACTGGGCTTCCCTTTGTGCTAATGGTACAGTTTGGACACGAGAGTAACTGGGATGCTTCTCACCTTTTGGATTCCAGCCACACAGGATGATTCTTCTGTCATCGGGGTTGGTTTTGATTGTGTCAATCACCTTTTGCAGTTGGTCTACTCCTTGACCTGAATAATCTGTGGAATTGTCGAGAGAAGACACGCCCACATGTCAATCACAGCATCTCGTGAGATGGCCTTAGAGACCATCCATCGCTGTCCTACCACAGCCCCTGTGGTCATGCTCTAGGATACCCAAGGCATTCTACAAACTCCTCTGCTCTCGTGGGTGATGATGAGTTCTATACTCTGGAGCCATAACAAAGTTACTTTCCTTTCTACAAAAGAGTCCTTTAAACATCTGATCTGTCATGGTGCCACCCCTCCCCTTCCTGTTGCAAACTTTCTCCAATCGAGCAGTTTCTTCCACTGGTCCCCACAGGACTGTCTCTTTACCCATCAACCATTCTCATCACACTCTGCTGCCATGGAAAGTACCAGATCTTAAATAGAAGACACCATTCCACACACACTCCAACTAACAGAGGACGGTGGATTCCTTTCTATGGTCTAGATGCTATTCTCCCAACGCTTCCACCCAAAATTACAATTTAGCAGCCAAACACCTACTGATTTATAACTATCAAGAAACCACTATAACTCTCACACCACCTTATACTTTTCTCCCATTTCTGGTCTCTGGACTTTTAATTCCTTGCCTTCCTTCTGAAATGGAACTGTAAGCTGCGAAGTCTGAGAAGTGAGGAGCTTCATATCCCCTCCAGTTAAACCTCCACTTATTGGGGTCAGACTATGTTCTAGTCCAGTAGTTCTTAATTTTGGGGGAAAGAAAGTCCTGTCATGATCATAGCTTCAGAAAAAGTAATAGCAAAGATTAAAAAAGATGCACTGTGATAGTATGGTTCTATATTTTAGTTGTGGTGCTTATATAAATCTACAGGTGTTAAAATTATCAACGGTTTCAGTCTAGCCAGCAAGCTAGTACTTCCTATGTATGTGTGTTCACATGCATACACACACACACGCACACACATGCACACTGATGAAGTAGGCATTTGCTTTTGCAACCCTTGACCTATGGACAGGCAGGACAGGAAGGTTCAAAGGATGGGGGCAAATGATGCCACCAAGTGACTGAGGAAGGTGGATGTCCAGGAATAAGAGGGTTCATCTTCTTCCACCCCAGGAGGGCAGGGAGAAGAGGGTAACCCAAGAACTGCTATCACATGAGCACCACCTAAAGTGTGCAGGGTGGCTCAGCCTTAAAAAGGGAGATCAAGCCACTGCAAGGCAATCCCCGGGCCTCTTCCTATGGCCAACACACAAGCAACCGACCCACCATGTCACTACCTGCTAGTGAAATACGGTATGGAAAGTACCAAGCACCCAATAAATGCTAACAACCAAGAGTGGGATCTGACCTCTACCTGAATCTGAAACAGCCTCTCACAAGGTCAAAGTTATACATCAACTCCCCAGACGCTGGCTTCTTAGGCCCCCAACTTCACTTGAAACAATGGGGCCAACTTATGCTACAATGAGTGCTCAGGAAATCTGAGGCATCGCTGTTTTCTCACCTGAATCCTTATCTTTGTATTCTGCCCCAAAATGCCTCCACTGAAAGCCATAAACTGGGCCTAAATCCCCCTCTTCTCTGTTGGAGAATCCCAGGCTGTCCAAGAAGTCTCGAGACCCATTGGCATCCCAGATTTTCACTCCCTTTGAAGACAGTTCCTTAGCGTTTGTAGATCCCTGCAAGAGACAGGAGAGCAGAGCAGGCATCCAGGTGAAGAAGCTGACACCCCAGGAGCCTCCCACCAACTGTGCCTCAGGCCTGTGCTAACATACCTGTCCTGCACTCAGCACGTCCTGCACGGCGTGTCCTGTCTTTAAGGGCCAGTCCCAGCCCAGACTTCTTGAGGGCCCCCAAGACAGTCTCCTGGAATCACTTCCAGGACAGGTGATTCTTCCCCTCAACTCAATGTTCTAGATTGAACACCTCCAAGTCCTTTCATTATTCCCACCTAACAGTTTTGTGTTTTTTAACCAAAGGTGTTTTGTGTGTGTGATCCCCCAAAATGCATTTAATGTCTCGCCTGCAATCTGTTCAATGGATACATAGGTACCTATATCATGTATATGTATACAATGTATACATAGGATACCTGGTACATAGGATATTTCACTAACTGGCCTAATCAGTATCAGCTTTTCTTACAAATCAGTCACATTATCTCATATGTGCCACTGTCAAGTTGTTCACCCCAACCTGTATTTGCCGTTAAGGTGGGGCTTTGTTTTTTTCCAAGTACAAGCTAATGTTTATTACTTATATGTCATTTCATTAGATTTGGCCCATATCATCCTAACGTGTGTCCTGATCGTGCATTTAGGGCAAAGACAGACCTCGGCGGCCTCTGTGTACGATGCGCTGTAATGGCGACAAGCTGTGCCACACGCACCATGCCTGCCCTCCATCCCCCTTCTCCTCTGACGGCTCCCTGCCCCCACCCACAGAAGAGCACAACCGCATCCCCACACATCTACTGTGAGGGCCAGAAAACATAAGCAAAGTGCTCAGTGCTCGACAGATCCTAATCTCAGCACAGACCCCACGTCTCCATCTTGCCCACAGACGCCAGCTGCAGTGCGGGTTCACCCTGACTCCTCTGTTTCATCCAGTCACCCAGGGAGCAAATCTATCAGAGGTGAGTCTGGCATGTTCCTGGTAAAGAGTACTTAGAATCCTGAACTCAAGCTAAATTAAGATAAAACCAGTGAATGCACTTTATTTCTGAGCATCTCGTTTCCTCCCTTCTGTTTTTGAGCCTGAACTATCTTTTTCACCTCCATAAGTCATTTTTCAATCTTTCCCATATTGCTGTTGCTGCTCTTTTTTTTTTAAAGTGGGCTCCATGGGGGCACCTGGGCAGCTTGGTTAAGTTAAATATCTGCCTTCGGCTCAGGTCATGATCCCAGGGTCCTGGGATCTAGTCCCACATCGGGCTCCCCGCTCATCGGGGAGTCTGCTTGTCCCTCTCCTTCTGCCCCTGGCCCCTGCTCATGCTCTTTTTCTCAAATAAATAAAATCTTAAAAAAATAAATAAATAAAAAGTAGGCTCCATGCCCAGGTGGAGCTCAGCGCTGTGCTTGAATTCACAACCCTGAGATCAAGACCTGAGCTGAGATCATGAGTCGGATGCTTAACCCACTGAGCCACACAGATGCTCCCTCCCAAACTGCTTTTTTTTTTTTTTTAAAGATTTTATTTATTTATTTGACAGAGAGATAGCGAGAGCAGGAACACAAGCAGGGGGAGTGGGAGAAGGAGAAGCAGGC